ATAGTTGGTTCGAAACATCTACGGGCAGAAGACCTGCTAAAACTTACTATATCTACAACTCCTGGTACATTAGTGTGATGGTCAGTGGGAAGATTGCTCCTCACACTTGTGGTCAATGTGAAGAATTCCCCCCTTACAGACACGTAACAAAAGCAGGATTTGTACCAGGAATTGCACGGTCTTCTCAAAGAAAGACTAAAGCAGGATTTGTACCAGTGAGATCGGCCTTTCGCAGCCTTTTGTACCCCTGAGAAACCCCTACGAAATGTTCTGGTCCCCGGAAACTCTTAGTAAAGCCAATTCATCAGATGTCCATGGGGAAAATGTCCCTTACGCCGGTGGTTAGTAGGAAGGATGCAACTCTTACAGTGGTGATCAGACAACCAACCTTGTGTGATGGTCAATGGGAAGAATGCTCCTCACACTTGTGGTCAATGTGAAAAATCCCCCCCTTACAGACACGTACAAAAAAGCAGGATTTGTACCAGTTATATCAGCCTTTCTCAACCTTTTGTACCCCTGAGGAACCCCTACGAAATGTTCTGGTCCTGGGAAACTCTTTGCAAAGCCAATTCATCAGATGTCCAGGGGAAAATGTCCCTTACATCAGTGGTTAGCAGGAAGGATGCAACCCTTACAGTGGTGATCAGACAACCAACCTTATGGACAGAACAATGGGTCTTGCTGCCGATTTTAAAGCACTGACCCTTGAACTACGTAGCCACTATCAGATAGGAGGTCAGTCAACCACAGCTTAAGGTACCCCTAGCAACTTGTGGAGGAAACCTAGGGTTCAACAGACCCCTAGTTGAGAATGAGTTAAGCCGGCCATAGTTGGTTCGAAACATCTACGGGCAGAAGACCTGCTAAAACTTACTATATCTACAACTTGTGGTCAAGCTTAAGGTACCCCTAGCAACTTGTGGAGGAAACCGAGGGTTCAATAGAACCCTGGTTGAGAATGAGTTAAGCTGGCTATAGTTGGTTCGAAACATCTACAGGCAGTCTGATTGTACCCAAGTCAATCCATCAAATTGATAGATTTTGACAAATGGTGTTGACCCTGGAACTATGCAGGCAACATTTGGTAATTCGGCCTTTCTCAACCTTTTCAACACAGAGGAACCCTTGAATTAATTTTCCGGTCTCAGGGAAGACCTGCTAAAACTTACTATATCTACAACTCATGATACATTAGTGTGATGGTCAGTGGGAAGAATGCTCCTCACACTTGTGGTCAATGTGAAGAATTCCCCCCTTACAGACACCTAAAAAGATCAATGGTGTCAGTAGGAACTTATCTGAGAGGCAAACTTGCTCATATAGCCCCTAGAAACCTCAGGAGGAACCTTATGGTCTCATGAAACCTGGTTGAAAAGCCAAGTGCTCACTCAGTTACAGTCTAAGGTACTCCTAACAACTTGTGGGGGAACCCTAGGTTTCTTCGGAACCCTGGTTGAGAATGGCTGACTCAGAGAAACCTCCATTATGGATGCTAAAAGACAAATGTATCGACGAGAGATTGAAGACTATGGGAGTGCTCGGAGCTGAAGAAGCTTAGAAACGTCTTCAATGTAAAAGAACGAGTCCAGTCGAATGTGATTAATTACTGCTACAACGTAGATCAATGACGGAAACATTATTTCAACCAATCCATATTGAATTGAGGAGGTAAGAGGTGAACTGTAGCTCACTGACCACCTCAGAGACACAATCAAAGATTTCAGGCAACACTTCCATTGATTCCAGGAGCTCTGACATTTAAGATGGGGTGGTCAAAAAAAAATTGCCAGTGGGCCATTAGAGTCAACCAAGACAAGTCATAAATAAAAAGGCAGAGGCATTATTATTCGGCTTGTGAGAAATATAGTTTCGAGAAAGAATTGGTGTAGCACCACCCCAAGGTCTCGGGGAAAAGGGGAGGAAGGTCTCAGAGGAAAGAGGTTAAACCATAGGTGGTCATCAGGGAAATGCCCTTTATACTGGTAGTCAGTCGAAAAGATGTCCCCCCTTACAGGCAGCTTAAAAGATCATTGGTGTCATGTCACTGTCTCTGCCAAGTGATGATGAACCTGAAACCGTGAAGGCACCACCAGATGAGAGGCTAGTTGACCATAGCTCAAGGAACCACTAACAATCTCTAGAGGAGCCCAAGGGTTCTGAGGAACCCTGGTGGAGAAAAGCTGCTCTAGACTTTCGGTTGTAGACAGCATAGGTTCTTTGATTGAACCCCAAGGGCAGTGGATGGACTTTTATCTGCACCCCCTGGCATATGGTTGTCAAGCTTCATTGGAGACATTTTTAAAGACGTAGAGCTTCAATGGGGGGCACAATCTTCACAATTCCTTGCCAACCTTCATCTGTGTTTGTGGAAGAAGCTCTGTGGATCGTTGGACGTGGTAATCCCATTGACAACCATATCTACTAGTATGGTCTCTATATCGGCAATCTATTCGGACTCGGCAGGAACCGCCAGAAATTATATAACTGATGAGGAACCTAATTTGTAGTTTACTAGACATCCGAATGTTTTAGGTATCGACTTCCTTCAGCACTTTGAGGTGTGGTGGGCTCTGGCCATCTGACCACTCTAATATTTGGAGAGTATTGCAGTGACAACGCCACTTTCTTGGCAACCAGTCTTCATCCAGTCCACACAGTGAAGGCCGAGTGAGATGACCACCGATCCGGTGGAATAGAAGAACAAATTGTTAAACATCCATCCATCCATCCATCCATCCATCTATCCATCCTTCTATCCGTCAATCCTTCTATCCATTCATCCATCTACCCATCCTACTATCCGTTCATCCATCCTTCTATCCATCCATCCTTCTCTCCGTCCTTCTATCCGTCCATCCATCTATCCATCCTTCTATCCATCCATCCATCTATCCATCCATCCATCTATCCATCCCATCCTTCTATCCATCCTTTAATCCATCCATCCTTCATCTATCCATCCATCCATCCATCCTTCTTCCGTCCATCCATCCATCCATCCATCCCATCTATCCGTCCATCCATCTATCCATCCATCTATCCGTCCATCCATCTATCCATCCTTCTATCTATCCATCCATCCATCTATCCGTCCATCCATCTATCCATCCATCCATCCATCCATCCATCCTTCTATCCATCCATCCATCCATCCATCTATCCGTCCATCCATCCTTCTATCTATCCATCCATCCATCTATCCGTCCATCCATCTATCCATCCATCTATCCGTCCATCCACCCTTCTATCTATCCATCCATCCTTCTATCCTATCCATCCATCCATCCATCCATCCATCCATCTATCCATCTGTCCATCCATCCATCTATCCATCCATCTATCCATCATCCTCTATCTATCCATCCATCCATCTATCTATTCGTCCATCCATCTATCCATGCATCCATCCATCCATCTATCCGTCCATCCATCTATCCATCCTTCTATCTATCCATCCATCCATCTTCATCTATCCATCCATCATCTATCCATCCTTCTATCTATCCATCCATCCATCCTTCTATCCATCCATCCATCCATCCATCCATCCATCCATCTATCCATCCATCCATCCATCCATCCATCTATCCATCCATCTATCCGTCCATCCATCCTTCTATCTATCATTTCATCTATCCATCCATCCATCCATCCATCCATCCATCCATCCATCCATCCATCCATCTGTCCATCCATCCTTCTATCCATCCATCTATCCGTCCATCCTTCTATCTATCCATCCATCCATCTATCCATCCTTCTTCCATCCATCCATCCATCCATCCATCCTTCCATCTATCCATCCATCCATCTATCCATCCATGTCCATCCATCCATCCATCCATCCATCTATCCATCCATCCTTCTATCTATCCATCCATCCATCCTTCTCCATCCATCCATCCATCCATCCATCCTTCTATCCATCCATCCATCCATCCATCCTTCTATCCATCCATCCATCCATCTATCCATCTATCCGTCCATCCATCCATCCATCCGTCCATCTATCCATCTGTCCATCCATCCCTATCCGTCCATCCGTCCATCCATCCTTCTATCCGTCCATCCATCCATCCATCCGTCCGTCCGTCCATCCATCCATCCATCCATCCATCTATCCATCCTCTATGCATTTGTCTGTATTCTCTGTTTCCAACTTACAAATGAATCCCTCATTCCGATTCCAGAACATTCTAATTACTCTGAGCAGCCAACCAGAGCCTGGCTCATGTTCCACACAGCGATGTGATTGGCCGTCCCGCCATTCCATGCGGCGCAGTAGTAATGAAAGGCAGATTGCAGCCTCGGGTGACGCAGAAATCCAATTTCCTCTCGGTTGGGTTCTGGCGCTCTGCGGAGGTTGAACGATCTTGTGAACAAAGTTTTTTTCCCTCAATAAATGACATTCTGACATTTCTCCAGATAAAAATACAACAATCCGCCGTGTTTATACAACGCGCAGCGAGGATGGGGGCGACGGCTAAAAAAAGGATCCGAGGGGGGAGGGGAGGGGGGAGTCGGAGGAATTTGCGTCTCTCCAGCCCCGGGGGGATTTCAGTTTGGAAAACAAAATGTTTTTGTGCGAAAAGAGATTCACAATCCCGACATCTTCTACAGCAACTACATTCCTGCAGGCAGAACTCCGACCTCCCCTCCAGTCTGTACAGGTGTACCGACTCCTCCCCTCCAGTCTTGTACAGGTGTACCGGCTCCTCCCCTCCAGTCTGTACAGGTGTACCGGCTCCTCCCCTCCAGTCTGTACAGGTGTACTGGCTCCTCCCCTCCAGTCTTGTACAGGTGTACCGGCTCCTCCCCTCCAGTTTGTACAGGTGTCCGGCTCCTCCCCTCCAGTCTGTACAGGTGTACCGGCTCCTCCCCTCCAGTCTTGTACAGGTGTGTCCCGGCTCCTCCCCTCCAGTCTTGTACAGGTGTACGGGCTCCTCCCCCTCCAGTCTTGTACAGGTGTACTGGCTCCTCCCCTCCAGTCTGTACAGGTGTACCGGCTCCTCCCCTCCAGTCTTGCACAGGTGTCCCGGCTCCTCCCCTCCAGTCTTGTACAGGTGTCCCGGCTCCTCCCCTCCAGTCTTGTACAGGTGTCCCGGCTCCTCCCCTCCAGTCTTGTACAGGTGTACTGGCTCCTCCCCTCCAGTCTTGCACAGGTGTCCCGGCTCCTCCCCTCCAGTCTTGTACAGGTGTACCGGCTCCTCCCCTCCAGTCTTGTACAGGTGTCCCAGCTCCTCCCCTTCAGTCTTGTACAGGTGTCCCGGCTCCTCCCCTTCAGTCTTGTACAGGTGTACCGACTCCTCCCCTCCAGTCTTGTACAGGTGTACCGACTCATCCCCTCCAGTCTTGTACAGGTGTACCGGCTCCTCCCCTCCAGTCTTGTACAGGTGTACCGACTCCTCCCCTCCAGTCTTGTACAGGTGTACCGACTCCTCCCCTCCAGTCTTGTACAGGTGTCCCGGCTCCTCCCCTCCAGTCTTGTACAGGTGTACTGGCTCCTCCCCTCCAGTCTTGTACAGGTGTACCGGCTCCTCCCCTCCAGTCTTGTACAGGTGTACCGGCTCCTCCCCTCCAGTCTTGTACAGGTGTCCCGGCTCCTCCCCTCCAGTCTTGCACAGGTGTACCGGCTCCTCCCTCCAGTCTTGCACAGGGTACCGGCTCCTCCCCCAGTCTTGCACGGCGTACCGGCTCCTCCCCTCGAGTCTTGTACAGGTGTACCGGCTCCTCCCCTCCAGTCTTTGTGCAGGTGTACCGGCTTCCTCCCCTCCAGTCTTGTGCAGGTGTACGGCTCCTCCCCCCTCCAGGTGTACTGGCTCCTCCCTCCAGTGTACAGATGTACCGGCTCCTCCCCTCCAGTCTTGTGCAGGTGTACCGGCTCTTCCCCTCCAGTCTTGTACAGGTGTAGCGGCTCCTCCCCTTCAGGTGTCTCCTCCCCTCCACAGGTGTACCGGCTCCTCCCCTCCAGTCTTGCACTACCGGCCCTCCCTTTCAGTCTTGCACAGGTGTACCGGCTCCTCCCCTCGAGTCTTGTACAGGTGTACTTGACTCCTCCCCCCTCCAGTCTTGCACAGGTGTGTACCTTTCAGTCTCCTCCCTCCCCTTCAGTCTTGTGCAGGTGTACCGGCTCCTCCCTTTCAGTCTTGCACAGGTGTACCGGCTCCTCCCCTCCAGTCTTGTGCAGGTGTACTGGCTCCTCCCCTCCAGTCTTGTACAGGTGTACCGGCTCCTCCCTTTCAGTCTTGCACAGGTTTACCGGCTCCTCCTTCCAGTCTTGTACAGGAGTACTGGCTCCTCCCCTTTAGTCTTGCACAGGTGTACCGGCTCCTCCCCTTTAGTCTTGCACAGGTGTACCGGCTCCTCCCCTTTAGTCTTGCACAGGTGTACCGGCTCCTCTCCTGGACTGAAATGTCTTCCTCTGATATCACTGCACACTGGGAGCTTCTCACAATGTGCATTAGAAACTGCAGCCAATCAGATAGCGCTCCACCTTATTTCCTGGCTGGAGGACGTCCAGCATCATCTAGCACATTCCTCCCCAGCCTGACTGTCCCTGACCCGCCCCTTTCATTCATTGGATCTCAGTTCTCTCAAAGCAACATATGGATGTTACCTGGACAAACTGCTTGCTTTTTTTCTACCCTTGGGGCACTATTCCATCCACTGACACCAACAATTGTAATTGGACTTGTATCCTCCCCATCTACACCAACAACAGGACCCTATTCCTCCCACTGATACCAACAACAGGACACTATTCCTCCCACTGATACCAACAACAGGACACTATTCCAACCACTGACACCAATGATGGGGCACTATTCCTCCCACTGACACCAATGATGGGGCTCTATTCCTCCCACTGACACCAATGAGGGGGCACTATTCCTCCCACTGATACCAATGATGGGGCACTATTCCTCCCACTGACACCAATGATGGGGCACTATTCCTCCCAGTGACACCAATGATGGGGCACTATTCCTCCCACTGACACCAATGATGGGGCACTATTCCTCCCACTGACACCAATGATGGGGCACTATTCCTCCCACTATACCAATGATGGGGCACTATTCCTCCCACTGATACCAATGATGGGGCACTATTCCTCCCACTGACACCAATGATGGGGCTCTATTCCTCCCACTGACACCAATGAGGGGGCACTATTCCTCCCACTGACACCAATGATGGGGCACTATTCCTCCCACTGACACCAATGATGGGGCACTATTCCTCCCACTGACACCAATGATGGGGCACTATTCCCCCACTGACACCAATGATGGGGCACTATTCCTCCCACTGACACCAATGATGGGGCACAATTATTCACAATGACATCAGTGATGGGGCACATTCCTCCTCCCAACAATGGAACACAATTTCTCTCAATGACACCAACAATGGGGCCCCCCTCCTGTAGGTTTCTGTAGTGGATGGAGCTTCTGGGTCCCCCCCCACAGTTCTGCTCAGGCAGTACAGTACAGTATGATGTCACCACTATTTCCCAATACAATATCTGGGTTTGCAAAGGCATCAGGTGGATGCAGAGCAGATTTTTAACCTTTGTGACCCTTCAGAATATTTAAGTACTTGAATGTCCAGAGCCTGAGCAATTTCACTTTGATGGGGACCCGCATCATCTAGCCCTTTCTTCCCCAGCATGACCTTCCCTGGGCCCCTTTTCATTCATAGGACTTCAGTTCTGTCAATCATGGGGCTTAGCATCACATGCAGGCGGTACCAATACGCCTGCCTAGGAACGCCCAATCCTCCAGACTGACACCAGCTGGTATTTGCATAACTCCTCCCACTGCTTGCATTGGGCTGATGGGGCTCTTATTCAGGGGCGGACTGACAACTCATGGGGCCCCTGGGCAATAGGGGATCATGGGACCCCTGTGTCCTCACCCTCCCACTCAAACACAATTTCTCCAAAAAGCCTATGAAATGGGGTACCAGGGGCATCCTCATGGGGCCCCCTACTGGACCCCGGGCCCTCGGGCCCCTTTCCCAAATCAGGGTCAGTACAGTATCTGCCCCTGCGTGTGTTAAAAGAAAAGACATGAAACATGCGTTTTGCAAAGGCATACACGTGATGCAGCATGTGACCTTTGGACCCCCGAGCAATGCGGTGCAGGAAACCCACCATCTATATGTGTTTCCTGCACCAAAATCTAGTGACGCTATTTATAAAACGCAGCGTACCGCAACGCATGGGAAAAAATGGCGTGACCCTATTTATAAAACGCAGCGTACCGCAACGCATGGAAAAAATGGCATGACGCTATTTTAAAAACGCGGCATACCGTAACGCATGGAAAAAATGGGCATGCGCTAATTACAAAACGTGGCATACCGAAACTGATGGATGGGCATGACCCTTTTTACAAAACGCAGAGTGCCGTCATGGATGAAAAAATGGGCTCTTTACGCGGCGTACCGTAACGCATGGAAAAAATGGGCATGGCCTGATTTAGGAAAAACGCTTTGGAGTGCCGTAACGGATGCCTGAAAAAATGGGCATGACATCAAAATTTAATAAAACGCGGCGTACCGTAACGGATGGAAAAAAAAAATGGGCATGATGCTATTTTACAAGGCGCGGATAGCCATAATATCATCGACGAAAAAACTGGGTATGAGGCTATTTGAAACGCCCGTGTACCGTAACGCATGGAAAAAATGGGCATGCCCTATTTACAAAACGCGGCGTACCGTAACGGATGGAAAAAATAGGCATGACGCTAATTACAAAACGTGGCATACCGAAACTGATGGATGGGCATGACCCTTTTTACAAAACGCAGGAGCACCTCAACGGATGGAAAAAAATGGGCATGACGCTATCATGGGGCAAAACGCGGCGTACCTAACGCCAAAAATGGGCATGACGCTATTTACAAAAGCGGCTACCGTAATGCATGGAAAAAATGGGCATGACGCTATTTACAAAACGGGCGCACCGTAATGCATGGAAAAAATGGGCATGACTCTATTTACAAAACGCGACGTACCGTAAACGGATGGAAAAAAATGGGCATGGGCTATTTATAAAACGCGGCGTACCGTAACGCATGGAAAAAATGGGCATGGCCTGATTTAAAAAACGCGATGCAGAGTGCCGTAACGATGGAAAAAATGGGCATGACCCTGAAAACGTGGCGTACCGAAACGGATGGAAAAAATGGGCGTGATGCTATTTACAAAAGCGCGGCGTACCGCAACGCATGGAAAAAATGGGTATGAGGCTATTTATAAAACGCGGTGTACCGTAACGCATGGAAAAAATGGGCATGACCCTATTTACAAAACGCGGCGTACCGCGTAACGGCATGGAAAAAATAGGCATGACGCTAATTAAAAACGTGGCATACCGAAACTGATGGAAAAAATGGGCATGGGGACCCTTTTTAAAACGCGGAGCACCGTCAACGGATGGAAAAAATGGGCATGACGCTATTTGCAAAACGCGGCGTACCGTAACGCATGGAAAAATGGGCATGACGCTATTTACAAAACGCGGAGCGCCCGTAATGCATGGAAAAAATGGGCATGACGCTATTTACAAAACGCGACGTACCGTAACGGATGGAAAAAATGGGCATGGCCCTATTTATAAAACGCGGCGTACCGTAACGGATGGAAAAAATGGGCATGGCCTGATTTAAAAACGCGGAGTACCGTAACGGATGGAAAAAATGGGCATGATGCAATTTATAAAACGCGGCGTACCGTAACGGATGGAAAAAATGGGCATGATGCTATTTACAAAGCGCGGCGTACCATAACGCATCGAAAAAATGGGTATGAGGCTATTTACAAAACGCGGTGTACCGTAACGCATGGAAAAAATGGGCATGACGCTATTTACAAAACGTGGCGTACCGTAACGGATGGAAAAAATAGGCATGACGCTAATTACAAAACGTGGCATACCGAAACTGATGGATGGGCATGACCCTTTTTACAAAACGCAGAGCACCTCAACGGATGGAAAAAATGGGCATGACGCTATGTGCAAAACGCGGCGTACCGTAACGCATGGAAAAATGGGCATGACGCTATTTACAAAACGCGGCGTACCGTAATGCATGGAAAAAATGGGCATGACGCTATTTACAAAACGTGGCGCGAAAAAACGTACCGTAACGGATGGAAAAAATGGGCATGACTGTATTTACAAAACGCAGAACACCACAACGGACGGTGGCGCGCTGTGTTGCGTCGCGCGTTGCGTCGTGATTTGCTCTTTACTGCACAGTGCATTACACGCCATTCTCACAGCAACGCGTTGCGCACGAGGCAGAGGCACGCACCGTGGCAGCGCGCATTGTAGCGCACGAGTCTCAGTAACTCAGCCCCATCGCACAGGACCTCCCCTGCAGCGGCTGCACCAGGCGCAGAGCGAACGATCGGCGGATTACCTTTAAATTGCAGCGAATGTTTTCTCCTCTCGCCGTTATCAGTCAGCGATCAGTCCTAGAGATCCGGGATGGGGGGGACGCGGTTTACGAGGGGCTTCGCCTTTCCAGCGCGTTACCATTCCCAAGCCTTCGGCACGGCATGGGAACACCTGTGTGACTCCGGTGAGTAATCGGTCTGTGAGCGGAGCTGTCACTCTACAAAACACTGGAAGAGGGGAGAGATTACCCAGAATTCCCTGGAATGAGGCCAGACTTGCTGGATGAGTACAGAACGCGCTGTACCTGTTTTTATGTAACGTGGTGTAACCTGCCCCGCCCACCCCCCAGCTGTTCACCTGCGAGGTCACCGCCGATGCGAAGAGAACGCGCTGACGGCCAACGAGCATGCTGGGAAGTGTAGTCCCGGGGAAGGAGGGACGTCGCATGTTCCTTTAAGAAATTTGCATCCCTTAAAGGATCTTCCCACCCCAAGAGGACTTTGATCTGTCAGCTTCTACACACCGGCCTGAAACTTTTTCTAAATACATTCCGTTTTCTATTTTGCTTCCTTCAAGTAGAATCGCAGGCAGAACTTTTTCTTTTTTGGATCTGGATAGAGTGGGGAGGGGTTAGAACCTCCGTCTGGTGTTGTCGGTGTTCCTGTTTAGGTAGATTCGTTCTCTCTGATCGCCGGTGTCACTGGGAATGAAAGTGAGGCTAAATCCCAAAATTTTGGGTTGTCACCAGGACAGGAAGAGAGGGGAAATCATCCGATGAGGACACTTGGCCCCATGACAA